ACATGACTTTAAAAATTAAAAAAAAAAAAAAGCCACACTCCAGGCAGAGGGGAACCAAGGAAGCCCTACCCTGGCCCCCAACACAACTGTGTTTGCCAAGCATCTGTGGAGTTCCTGCCTTCACCCCAGCCCTGGGCCAAGAAAGCACTGGGCAAAGCACAGGGGATTCAACAGCACTGTCCTGAAGAGGCTCGTCATCTGGCTGAGGGAAGAACTCAGAGACACGCATAAGCAACGGTCCAGCACAAAATAGCGCATGGTCAGGGGCCAAGTGAGTGGGAAAGACAGATGGACATTCCCAGAGGCTCTGTTTGTGGACCCTGGCAACTCCTAAAGGTCTCTATGGCCCCCAAAAGCCTGTGAACTATATTGAAAGAAATGCTGTTTAGAAAAGAGACCTGACACACGAAATTCCTGCGAGCAGCAGCCCACTCAGGGAGCATGCTCCTCGGCGTGTGAGAGGTGGGAAGCGGGAAGGTAGCCCCCACCCCCATCCTTGGGGCCCTCCCGTCTCTGGCTGCTGGGGCTGCTTCCTGGACATGAGGTGGACTGAGTGGGGAGGTGCAAGCACCTTCCCGCCTCCTTGCTTGGGTGGGTGGGGGGTGCTCATCCATGAGTTGCACAGGCTCTGGCCTCTTCAGAGGAAGGTGGCCTGATTGCCAGGCCCGGTGTTCTTCCCCTGATCTCTTGCTGAGAACAGGTGAAGCCTTTCCATGAGCTGTGCAGCCCCTTACCTGATCTGGAGGCACAAAGGGAAAATTAATATAGAGAGCTACTTTAAATGCCTCCCTTGTTTTGTTTACTGTACTTGCAGAAGGGAACTGCTTTGGCGGTTAGAGAGAAGTTTGATATAAGAGTTTGTTGCTGCTGCTGTTCACCACCCAAACAGGAAAAACAAACTGGCAATACTCAAAGGTCAGTAATACCACTGAATCGCTTTAAAATGTATCCTAGGCTCCCATCATTTGTCACGTTTTTAAATTTCTGGAAGAGTAGAGAGGTCTCTGAGGAGAATTTGTCATAATCTAATTCTTGACAAGATGTTTTCCACCTTCCCTCCCCAAACTCCCTCATCAGGGTTTTGCAAGTACATTTGATTGCAACTCACCGTCTGGCCTTCGGCAAGCCCCTAATGACAGTACCCCTAACTTCCCCTCCTGCTCTGCAGCCCCTTTCAGTTCCGTGGGTCCAGAACCAGTGATCCCATTAAGATACAATGCAGTTCCTAGAATTATAGGTTTGCAGGGAACACAACCTGCTTCTGGCCCAGCTGTTCCTAAACAGCTGCTTACACAGAGGTTTGAGACTTTCAAGTCTCAGTAATAGCTCCAAGGAATTCAGTGTTTTCTTCTGTACCAAATCCCTCCTGGAACCACAAGCTCCCTGGACAGGTCTTAGCTGGCCCAGTAAAAAGAAGGAAATTGACCTTCTGCGCCCCTCCCAAGCTTGCTCTTCCAGTGACCTCCTGGACCGCTTTCTCTGGACCCCTCTCCATACCCCAACTGCCCCAAGAGTCCAGGCCCTTCGGTGGCCTGCCACACCTGGCCTTCTCCAGGCCTCTTCTCCCCTGCCTGCTGAGAGGCTCCTTCTGTAGGGGCTATACTCAGGTAGGATGGAGCCAACTGACTAACTCCCACTCAGGCTTAATGCTTCCTCAAGAATGAAAATCCAGATGTCCCATAGGAGAAGAAAGCCATAACATTTCCACAGAAATTAACTTTAAAGAGTGGAACTTGAGACATCAAAGATGAACCAAGAGAGGGAGATGTTTTGTTGCATGGGAGCCTTCCAACGCCAAATTTTTGGATTTGGGTTTGGCTCTATTCTGTCTTTAAAAACTGTGTGCTCTTGGGAAATTTATTTAAGCATTCTGAAATCTGATTTTTATGACTATAAAGTGGCTCTGGAGCCTCTGACCCACCACTACGAGATCATGTGAAAGTGCTTGAAAACTAAAGGTCAGCACAGACTGGCATGTCCGCCCCCCACCCCCCGCAGTGCGTCTGGAAGCAGCCCCTCTCTTAAGTCAGCTGTATCTTAGCTCCACCACTCAGAAGCCCTGCAGAGAAGATGCAGGAGGGAGAGAAAGATGCTCATGTTTTCATTTCCAGCCTTCCCCACCCTTCATCCTCTCCCCACTGCCTAATCACTGCAGGGATTCCGAATGTTTGTGTGTGTGTGTGTGTGTGTGTGTGTGTGTGTGTGTGTGTCTGTGTGTGTCTGTGTTTGTGTGTG